TATGATACATTAGTTTTGCTGCCTGGTGTTTACCCTGATGAGTTGAAAACTTATGTTCACACGAAAACCTGCACATAAATATTTATAACAACTTTATTTAATTACAAAAGAAATTAGAAGCAGCCATGATGTCCTTCAATAGATGAATAAGTAAACTGAAATACATTCAGACAATGGAATATTATTCAGCAGTAAAAATAAATAAGATATCAAGCCATGAAAAAAATGGAAAAATCTTAAATGAATATTTCTATGTGAAAGAAGCCAATGTTAAAAGGCTACATAAATGCTGTATCATTCCAAGTATATAATATTCTGGAAAAGGCAAAACACTAGAGAGACAGTAAAAAGATCAGTGTTTTCCAGCGACTTGTGGTGAGAGAGAGTTAGGATAAATAGGTGGAACACAGAAATTTTTAGGGCAGTAAAACTAGTATGCTGCATGATAGTTTAATGTTATAAACTGTCATTACATATTTGCCAAAACCTATAGAATGTACAACACAAAGAATGGACCCTAATAGAAATTCTGGATTTCACTTGATAGTTTATCAATATTTGCTCATCAATTGTAACAAATCCACTTTATGAATTTTAGAATGATGTTAAATCAGAGGAAATTGGGTGCGTGAAGGGTACATGGCAACTCTTTTTTTGCCTTTTTTTCCCTAGAAATCTAAAACTGATCAAATACTAATGCCTGTTATTTTGTTTTTTTTTTAATTAATAGATACAGAAAACTGATGGTTGCCCGATCAGTGGCGGGGTCGGGTGGAGTGTGGAGTTGGGGGATGAAAGAAATGTGCCAGGATGGTCAAAAGATACAAATAAGGGGCGCCTGTGTGCCTCAGCCAGTTGAGCATCTGACTTCAGCTCAGGCCATGATCTCATGGTTCATGGGTTCAAGTCCCGCACCTGGCTCTGTGCTGACAGCTCAGAGCCTGGAGCTGGATTCTGATTCTGTGTGTGTCTCTCTCCCTACCCCTCACCCGCTTGCTCTCTCTCTCTCTCTCTCTCTCAAAAATAAATAAACACTTTTAAAAAAGATAAAAATAAATAAATATTAATTTGAAAATCAATAAAAATATAAGTCCATTGAAAAAAATCAGTGAAATTGACAAACATCTAGCCAGAATGGCAAAGAAAAAAGACACAAATTAGTAATATTAGGAATGAAATGGGTAATTCTACATACTTTTAAGATATAAAAAGGATAAACAGAATTTTTAAAACAACTCTACATGGACAAATTTGACAATTTGGATGAAATGGATTCCTCAAAGGGTGTAAATTATCACAACTCACCCAATATGAAATAGACTACTTGAATAGCCCTATAACTATTGAGAGAATCAATTTTGTCATTAAAACTGCCCTCCAAAAGAAATCTACAAGTGCCCAAAGTTTACAGTTAACATCACACTTAATGGTGAAAAATGTAATGCTTTCCTCCTGAGATCAGGAACAAAACAAAATATACACTTTGACCACCTTTATTCAATTTGTACTGGAATTTCTAGCTAATGCAAAAAAATAAGAAAAGGAAATAAAAGTAACATACAATCAATCATCAGTATTGACAATCCGAAAGAATCTACATAAACAGTCTTACAACTAGTAAGTGAGTTTAACAATGTTTCTGGATACAAGATCAACATACAAAAAGGAATTGTGTGCATATATAGGAAAAAGTGAACATATTGAAACTGAAATTAAGCATATAATACCATTCTCAATCAATCAAAATATCAAATATTTAAATATAAATCTAACAAAACATGTATAGGACTTTTATGCTGAAAACTACAAAACATTGATGAAAGAAATCAAAGACGTTCTAAATAAATGGAAAGACATCTGTGTTAATGGACTGAAAGACTCAACAGAGTAAAAATGTAAATTCCTCGAAAATGATATGAAAGTTTAACATAATTCTTACAAAAGTTTCAGCAATATTTTTGATGTAGACAAGAAAATTCTAAAATTCATATGGAAAGGAAATATGTTAATTTAGTTAAAATAATTCTGGAAAAAATACTGAAGTGGAAGAAATCCACCTACCTAAAATCAGGACTTATTGTATAGCTATAGTAATCAAGACTGTGGGGCACCTGAGTGGCTCAGTTGGGTAAGTGTCCGACTTCAGCTCAGGTCATGATCCCACTGTTCATGGATTCAAGCCTATGCTGACAGCTCAGAACATGGAGCCTGCTTCAGATTCTCTCTGCCTCTCCCCCACTCATTCTCTTTCTCTCTCTCTCTCTCTCTCTCTCTCTCTCTCTCAAAAATAAACATTAAAAAGAAAAGACTGTGTGGTAGTCACAGGAAGATACAAATGCAGATCAGTGAAAAGGGTTAGAAATAGTCCTGCACAAGTATAGCCAGCATAGTTGATTTTTGACGAAGGTGCAAAAGCAATTCAATGGGTAATGTCTTTTGAAAAAATGGTTCTGAAATAATTTGATATCCATATTAGGCACAAATGAACCTTGACCAAAACCTCGCACCTTATACAAAAATGAAATCAAAATGGATCACAGATTTAAATGTAAAAAATAAAACTATAAAATAAATTTTAGAAGATAAAATAAGAGGAAATCTTTAGGACCTAAGGCTTGGTGAAGTATTCTTAGAAATGTCACTAAAAGCACAATCCATAAAAGAAAAAAAAAACAAAAAAAAACCAAGAACTTGGAATTCATCAAAATAAAAAAAATAAAAAAACTTTTTTTCTGCAAAATACCAGAATAGTGAAAATAAAAGCTACAGACTGGGATAAAATATTGCAAAACCACATTTCTGATAAGAACTCCTACCTAGAAAATATAAAGAACTCTTAAAACTCAACATTAAAAAAAAAGTCAATTAGAAAATGAGCAAAATGCATGAAGAATCATTTCAATGAAGAGACTGTATGGGTAGCAAATAAGCACATGAAAAGATTTTCAACATCACTAGGCATTGGGGAAGTCAAGTTAAGAACTCAAGGATTGGGGCACCTGGGTGGCTCAGTCGGTTGAGGGTCTGACTTTGGCTCAGGTCATGATCTCACAGCTTGTGAGTTTGAGCCCCGCATCGGGCTCTGTGCTGACAGCTCAGAGCCTGGAGCCTGCTTCTGATTCTGCGTCTCCCTCTCTCCCTGCCCCTCCCCCACTCATGCTCTGTCTCTCTCTGTCTCAGAAATAAATAAACATTAAAAAAAAGTTAAAAAAAAAAAAGAACCCAAGGATCTATCACTGCATGCACCAGTGAAAATAGATAGTCTTTTTCATTACTAAGAATACCAGATGCTGGAAAGAATGCCAAAAAAACTGGGTTTTTCATACATTGCTGGGAGAAATGTAAAATGGTACAACTTTTCTGGAAACAATTTGACAGTTTTTCATGAAACTAAACATGCAATTACCATATGGCCAAGCATTTGCATTCTTGAGCATTTGTCCTGGAGAAATGAAAACTTAACATCTGCACAAAAGCTTGTTCATGACTGTTCATGACTGTTCATGAAGTTTTAAGGGCCCTTAATTGGAAGTAACTTGTGTCCTTTGATGTGGGAATGATTAAACAAACATTGCAAATAAATTGGAAAAAAATTAGTTCATAAATATCATGTAATACAACTTAACAATAAGAAGGAATGGAGTATTGATACATGTAACTTGAAAAAATCTTCAGGGCGCGTGGGTGGCTCAGTCGGTTAAGCTTCTGATTTCTGCTCAGGTTGTGATCTTGCGGTTTGTGGGTTTGAGCCCTGTGTCGGTCTCTGTGCTGACAGCTCCGAGCCTGGGGCCTGCTTTAGATTCTGTGTCTCCCTCTCTCTCTGCTCCTCCACTGCTCACGCTCTATCTCTCTCAAAAATAAATAAGCATTAAGAAAGTTAAAGAAAAAGAAAAAGTCTTCAGAAAATTATGGTGAGTGAAAAAAGCCAACTTCAAAAAATTACATACTATGACTCCATAAAACATTCTTGAAATGACACAATTAAAGATGTGGAAGACAGATTAGTGGTTGACAGTGGTTGGGAATAGTGGATAAAAGAAGAAGAAGAATAGTGTGATAAAGGAACATAGAAGTGTACATACATACTGTGTAATTTCAATTTAATGTTTTAATTATTGTGATACAATTAGGTTAAACATAAATTGGAGAAAGCTGAGTGAATTTACCTCTGCCACTTCCTGTGAATCTAAAAATATTTTACTATAAAAAGTTTTAAAAATTGGTTCTGAGTCCAATGAAATGAAATTTTACAAATTTTGAAATACCCAAGTAACCATTAAAGAGCTGAAGTTAATAGAAGTTACATTTTCATCAAGGAAGAACAAGGTTGGAAATGGCATATGAACGATAACTACCTGTCTGGTCCCTGTAGAAAAGAACTAATTTGTGTTTTGTTTCAAAGATTTGGTGGGTTATTTCTACAGAAAAAGAAAACCAAAACCAAAAACAAAAATTTGTGAATTTTTAACTAATTTTAAAAGATATAATCATTTATATTAAATAAGTACTTTCTCAAAATATAACATTGATATTTATCATTTATCAAAATATTAAATATATTTTGTTTAATTTCCCCTCAAGGTTGTTCTGTTTGAATTATGTTTGCTTTATAAACATGAATATCTGCTTATAAATGTTTTGTTAGCCCTTTATTTAACATTGTATTTGACATTTTTGTACTTTATAGTATGTAAAATCAGTAAAATGACCAATTTCAAAAGTGAAAAAAAATAAAGTCTAAAAAAATTGTCCTGCAATAGGCTGCATGTTTCTTGAATGTCTGAATATTTAGATAAATGTTACCTTTCTGCTAATAGTATGTTTAAAATGAAAGCATAATTACTTTTATTTTTGCTTATTGACTAATAATTAAATTTTCTTATTCTAGGTACCTATTTATTTCTAATCATATTTTATGCAGCATCCATTTATTATTTTAATGGCCAAACCTGCTAAAGGTTCTATGTTTACAAAAATTCCTTTTGTATTTCTCTTATAAGACTTGGATTGGGAATAGAAGAAGGAAATATCGTTTAATGGGGATTGAAGTTCCACCTCCAAGAGGAGGCCCTGCTGATTTTTCTGAGCAGCCTGAGTCTGGTTCTTTGTCTGCACTCACATCAGGAGAGGAAGCTGGTCCAGAAGTAGGGGAGGATAATGACAGAAATGATGAAGTATCCATCTGTTTGTCTGAAGGAAGCTCTCAAGGTATTTTATATGCTGCACTTCCTAATAATAGCCTTTGTAACTTTGATGGATTTTTAACTTGCTTTTCAGCTAATTGCATTTCACATCTAAAGTTCTCAAAACATTTGGTTAAACGTTTGAAAATAAATTGATTTATTTTTATTTATTTTTATTTTATTGATATGTATATACACATATATACGTAGTGAAATGATTACTGCAGTCAAAATAATTAACATATCCATCTCCTCACATAGCTACCATTTATGTGTATGGTAAGAACACCTGAAATCTACTCTTAGCAAATTTCTAGAATGCAATATAGAATTGTTAACTGTAATAATCATATGCATTAGATCTCTAGACTTATTCATCCTACATAATTGCAAATTTGTATCCTTTGACCAAATTCCCCCATTTTCCTGATCTCCCCACCATGGTAACTACCATTCTGTTCTCTGCTTCATTTGACTTTTTATGATTCCATGTATAAGTGAGATCATGCAGTATTTTTATTTCTGTGCATGGCTTATTTCAGCTAACATAATGTCCTCCAGGTTCATTCTTCATGCATTATATATACAGTATATAAAATCTCAGTTATGTGGGGAATCTAAATATAATATTATATAATCTCAATTTCTTTATTTATTCATTAGTCAACAGATAATTAGGCTGTTTTCATATTTTTACTACTATAAGTAATGCTGCAAAAAATGTGGAGCACAGATAACTCTTAGAGGTACTGATTTTATTTATTTCGGTTATATATCCAGAAGAGGGATTACTGGATCATGTGGTAGTTATATTTTTACGTTTTTAATGAACCTACATACTCTTTTCCATAATGACTATACCAATTTGCATTCTGACCAATGATGTACAAAGGTTCTCTTTCCTCTATATCCTCACCAACACTCTTTGTCTTTTATCTTTTTTATTTTATTCTTAATGCCTCCACCTAAAGAGTCTCCCACACTGAGTCATCACAAGGAACACTTATGTACCACAATAACGATCTCTCACATTTAGAAATGTTGTTTATTACAACAATCCATAATTATAATTAAGTACATGATTGTTTTTATTTTATTGAAACTCTAACCAATTTAGCTTTGAATGTTATAAATGTATTATAATAAAAAAGGATATGGTATAATGTGATATGCACCAGGGTAGTAGTCAGGCAACCTCAGTACAAGTCCTGGATCTTCCACTAGCTGATTATGTGACTTCAGGCAAAACATTTAATTCATGACGCTTAAGTTACACATCTGTAAAATAAAGGAATTAGCCTGGGTCATTTCTATAACATTTCTTAGTTTTTCCCTAATGAGAATTCAAATAATTGGATGTACTTTTTCAATGAACACTTATATTGAGGTTTAATTTACATATCATAAAATTCATTGATTGTAAATGTAGAATTCAATGAGTTTTAGTAAATTATATAGAGTATGCAACTATCACCATCACTAAAATCCAACTTTAGAATATTTTCACCACTTCAAAAAATTTCTTTGAGCCCACTTGTAATCAATCCTCATTCCCACTTCCAACCCCAGGCAACCACAGATCTGCTTTCTGATAATATAAACTTGTCTTTTCTGAGTATCTCACATAAAAGCAATCATACAATATATAGTATTTTTGCATCTGAGAGAAACAAAGGGAGAGAGAATATTGCAATGGCCCATTTTGTTTGTTTCTATTTTACTGGATCAGAATATTAACAATACAGTTTCCAGTTTAATTTTTGCCTTTTAAATTTGATTATGGACTTTCTCATGCCAGAACTTTTGCTTGTAATATTTATGTTGCCGAATATATCAGTCCTTTTCTTTATGATTTCTGACTTTGGTATTAAGATTACAAAGTTCTTCATTGTACCACAATTATGTAAACATAACCTTATATATCATCTTATATCTTATGGTTTCATTTTTACAACTTGATATTTATTCTGCATAGAATTTATTTTTACTTAATATTTGTGAGGAAAATACCTAATTTTATTTTTCCAAATGGTTAACCAGTTGCGCTTACACTATACGTTAAATAATCCAGCATTTTACTAGTGAGTTTACTTGTAGCTTTTTATCAAGCTTTATACATACACATGCACACACACACACACACACACACATACACACATATATGTATATATATATATTTTGGATTTTCTATTTTGTTACATTGATCTGATTGTTAATGATTTTGGCTTTATAAAATATCTAAATATCTGGTATTACTCTGATTACTCTTCTTAGTTCTTGCAGCACAGATTATTCTAGATTAATTTTAGAATTGCTTAATCATACCTTTCCCCAATCCCTCTTGCCAAATATCATTTAAGCTTTTTTTATTGGTACTGAATTAAATGGATAGTAAATTGTGGAAAGATAGAAACAGTTTTCCATGTGTTGAGTTTTAGATGATGTCAGGATATCAATGTGGAGCTGTCCAGCAGACCAATGGATAATGTGGGTCTGAAACTCAGAAAAGGAGTTAAGATATGAAAAGAAATATAGGAGCTACTCACATTGAGGCTGAACAAATGTCTAGCCATAGAAATAGAAGATTTAGTTAAGTGAGAAAATGGAAGACAAGAAAGGAAGATAGACAAGGGCTGTATGTTAAGAAATATCCAGATTTGGGAGCTAGGGGAGAAAAGGGAGGCAATGAAAGAACATTCAGATTAGGAGAAACAGGATATTATGATATTATTAAAACCAACGAAAGAGAGAGATTTCAGAAGAAAGAAGTGTCATTATATAAATCATCTTTTGGAAGGTGAGTAGAAAGTCCTCTCATATGAGGCATTTAAAATGGTCAAAGGTATATAAGTGGACAATATAATGGTAGTACCAGAGGATGGGGAGAGGAATATGAGGAGTTGTTGTTCAATGAATATAAAGTTACAGTTATACAACTGGAGTATAACTGTTGAAAAACATATTGCATATAGTTAGCAATAAGGGGCTATAGACTTAAAAAAAGAAAACTTAACAGGGTAAATCATTAAGTTGTTCTTACGAAAAAAGGAGGGACACAAGAAAACTTTTGAAGGTGATAGATATGTTCATTACCTGGATTGTGGTGATGGTAACATGAGTACTGATATGTTCAAACTCACCAAATTGTTTACATTTATTATGTGCATTTTATGTACACCAATTACACCTTAATAAAGCAGAAATATTAAAATAAACTTTAGAAACAATGATAAACCATTGAATTGGGTGCTTAAGGGCTTCTTTCAAAAGCAATGTGTGTTGCGAGGGGTAGGCAAACAGATTGCATTAGGTTGAGTAATGAAAGGGGTATTAAAGCTCTTGGTATTGCCAGGGCCATGTATTTTAATACTAAGTCTTTGAAAAGATGTGTGAATATTCAACTGCTCTCTCTCTCTCTCTCTCTCTCCCCTCCCCTTCTCTCTCTCTCTGTGTCTTTACCAACATTTACTGTTGGCTTTGATGAAGATGATAACAGGATTTAGTGTACAGAAAACTGTGAAGCAAGAAAAAGGAGAAGATGTTGCATCTTTTCCAAGTCCCTTATTTATAATCTAGTTGGTCCATTAAACCAAAAATGGACCAACTTCTATTAGTCTGTTACCAAAGACTATTAGTCTTTACTAAATTGTATGTGCCTGGTAATATTTGAATATTTTCAGTGATTTAGGAATAGATATTTATTTATTTATTTTAATATATGAAATTTATTGTCACATTGGTTTCCATACAACACCCAGTGCTCATCCCAAAAGGTGCCCTCCTCAATACCCATCACCCACCCTCCCCTCCCTCCCACCCCCCATCAACCCTGAGTTTGTTCTCAGTTTTTAAGAGTCTCTTATGCTTTGGCTCTCTCCCACTCTAACCTCTTTTGTTTTTCCTTCCCCTCCCCCATGGGTAGAGAATGATGACTGGCAGCTATTTGAAAGATAATGGGGATTTGTGTGTTTCTATGGGTGGGTGGGAGAACTATGAGGAAATATTCTTTTTTTTAATGTTTATTTTTGAGAGAGAGAGAGAGAGAGAGAGAGAGAGAAAATGCAAATGGGGGAGGGGCAGAGAGAGAAGGAAACAGTATCCTAAGCTGCTTCTGTGCTGCCAGCAGAGAGCCCAATGCCAGGCTCAAACTCAGGAACCATGAGATCATGAGCTGAGCCTAAATCGAATGCTTAACCAAGTCTGCCAACCAGGGGCCCCAGGAAATATTCTAATAAAAGCAAATTACCTAAGCCCCTGAAAGGGAGTTTCAATCCACTACTTCCACTTCCCCACCTAAAAGGGAATTTTTTAAAAAATAAGTAGTTAATAGGGGAAAAATGATTTAAAGGTTGCTAATGGTCCACTGCTCCTACACTGACATCCTTTGTCATTTAATAGTGTGTTCTCTAGACAAGTGACATAGTAATTAAGGCCTAATGAGAAAGAAGAGAGAAAGAATTTAATGCATGAATCAAAAAACACTTGATGGAAAGTGATATTACCTAGAGTCCCTTCAGTGGCTTACTTTTTACAGCTGCATAGTAACCTTTTCATTCTCATCAGAAATTGGAGCAGAAAATAGTCTTAAAATACTAAGAGAGCCTTTTTGCTCACTATTTCCAATGAGTTCTGTCTTCCAAATGTCTAAGAAAAAGAAAAATGTCTTTAAAGCAGGGCTTACATTTTACATGTTAAAAATCTATTAAAAATTATGTTAAATTTTCCTAGAAAACACTCTACAAGCTAAAAGAAGCATTACATTTTTCAAGCACAATAAAAGGCAGGTTTAGCCAAAATCACCAAAAAGTGCTTGCTGACCTTTTAGCAGTTTCAGTTCCATTTTTTTTTTCTTTTCTGAGAGAATAGGTATTTCCCTGATATAGAGCTTTTGACTTACCTCTAGCTTCCACCTTTTATCTCCCACCCTCACCTCTCCCATTTTTTTTCTTTCCCTGTGTGGAAGTGAAGAGAAAAGAGATGTGGTAAAGCTACCTGGCAAACTCTAGAAAAAGTAATAGATGACTCAGCTCCTTAAAGTTCTGTGTCTACTAAAATATATGTATGGTTGAGCAATTTTAAACATTTTTACTATCCTGAGAATCAAATTGTTTAAAGTATGACAAAGGTTAACATCTATAATGTTAAATATTAACAAATCTTCTTAGCTATATCTATTATATGTATATGCATATAAAATATAGTTCTGCATAATTACATAGTGTGAGTGTATCCCTAATATATAGAATGCCCTCTAGAATTTTCACTGATTAATAAATTTGCTTATTTATTTATTTTCCAATTTGCAGAGCTGCTTTTCCTGAGGAATAAGCAGTCACATCAACTGTATTTAAATTTCAAACTTTCAGTAATGTGGAAGCTATCTGTAAAAAAGAAAACATGCCTTAATTAGCTGCATCACTTCATACTTTTTTATTTTAGAAATCCTCCAAATAGTTTTTATTTACATCTTATAAAATAATCAAACCTTGTATGAATATGTTGCCAGTAAAGCAAAGCTGTGTATAAAGTTATGAGCAATTAAGAATGGAAATATAAGGCAAGCCTATAAGGAATGATACCAATAATGATCTTACTGATGATTGCTGTAACTTCTATTCTGGCAGCATTAGTACTAATATCAGCTCTGCAGCTAAACCTGATGACAACTCCCCCACTTCATTTCATTTAGTGGCTAATTACATATGACATGAAATATCTAAGTAATGAATAAAGTCTCCTCCATATAAGCATCATTCTTTTACTAAAAAATTAAATTGCGGGGCACATGGGTGGCTCAGTCTGTTAAGCATCTGACTTTTTTTTAGTTTATTATTTATTTATTTCCAGAAAAAGAGAGAGTGGGAGAGCAAGCACACATAAGTGGGGGAGGAACAGAGAGAGAGAGAGAGAGAGAGAGAGAATCCCAAGCAGGCTCCACAATGTCAGCACAGAGCCTGATGTGGGGCTTAAACTCATGAACCATGAAATTATAACCTCAAGCATCCAACTACTGGTTTTGCTTCAGGTCATAATCTCACAGTTCATGGGATTAAGCCCTGCATTGGGCTCCACACTGATAGTGTGCTTGGAATTCTCTCTCTCTCTCTCTCTCTGCCTCTCCCCTGCTCATGCTCTCTCTCTCTAAAAATAAATAAATAAACTTAAAAAAACTAAATTTAATTTTTGGTGTTCAATAGATGCAGAAAAAGCATTTGACAAAATACACCATCCATTCATGATAAAAACAATCAACAAAGTAGATATAAAGGAAGCATACTTCAACATAATAAATGCCATATATGAAAAGGACACAACTAACATCATCCTCAGTGAGGAACAACTGAGATCTTTTCCTCTGTGGTCAGGAAAAAGACAGGATGTCCACTCTCACCATTGTAATTTAACACACAATACTGGAAGTCCTAGCCACAGCAATCAGAAAACAAAAAGAAATAAAAGGAATCCAAATTGTCAAGGAAGAAGTCAAACTTTCACCATTTGCAAATGACATGATACTCTCTATAGAAAACCCAAAAGGCCCCATTAAAAAACTGCTAGAACTGATACACAAATTTGGCAAAGTTGCAGTACACAAAATCAGCACACAAAAATTTGTTGCATTTCTATACACCAATAAAGAAGCAGCAAAAGAGAAATCAAGGAATTAATCCCATTTACAATTGTACCAAAACCCATAATATACCTAGGAATAAACCTAACCAAAGAGGTAAAAGATCTTTACTCTGAAAACTATAAAACATGGAAGAAAGAAATTGAAGATGACACAAGCAAATGGAAAATCATCACATGCTCATGGATTGGAAGAACAAATATTATTAAAATGCCTATACTACCCAAAGCAATCTACACATTTAAAGCAATCACAACAAATGGTGTTGGTAAACTGGAAAGCTACATGCAAAAGAAACTCAACCACTTTCTTACACCATACACAAAAGTAATTTCAAACTGGATTAAAGATCTACATGTGAGACCCAAAACCATAAAAATCCTAGAAGTTAACACAGGAAGTAACTTCTTTGACATTGGTTGTAGCAACTTCTTTCTAGATATGTCTCCTGAGGCAAAGGAAACAAAAGCAAAAATAAACTATTGGGACTTCATCATAATAAAAAGCTTCTTCACAGTGAAGGAAACAACAAAACTAAAAGGTGACCTATGGAATGGCAGAAGATATTTGCAAATGACATATCCAATAAAGGGTTAGTATCCAATATATAAAGAACTTAACAAACTCAATACCCCCAAATGAATGATCCAATTAATAAATGGGCAGAAGACATGAATAGACATTTTTCCAAAGAAGACATACAGATGGCCAAGAGACACATGAAAAGATGCTCAGCATCACTTATCATCAGGGAAATTCAGGTCAAAACTACAATGAGATATCACCTCACACCTGTCAGAATGGCTGAAATCAAAAACACAAGAAACAAGTGCTAGGGAGGATGTAAAGAAAAATGAGCCGTCATGCACCATAGGTGGCAATGCAAACTGTGGAAAACCGTATGGAGGTTTCTCAAAAAATTAAAAACGGAACTAACCTACAATCCAATAATGGCACTACTAGGTATTTACCCAAAGAATACAAAAACACTAATTTGATAGGATATATGCACCCTTATGATTATTGCAGCACTAATTTACAATAGCTAAACTATGGA